GAATGGTTGTGTTTCAATAAAAGTGTTTTTTTTTTTTTTTTTTTTTTTTTTAATGCTGGCATTAGGGCTGGTAGGTCTTCTATGGGATGTGGTTAAGTTCTCCAACCCCTCCGTTAACCTAAAGCACATAGTGCTGCTTTGCTAATTCACAGTTTGGTTGAAGGGGTATGTGATTTTCCTGTGTTCTGTCAGTGGAACCCTATAAGGAGCAAGGACTGGAGATAATGAATTTGCCTACAGATAAAATGAGCTTGGAATTCAGAAGTAACACGCTAGGAAGTAACGAGCAGAGAGACTCAAGTCATGCAGGCTGTTAGCTATGTCAGTGGCATGAAGCAGTTGTTTTAGTGAGGATGGATGCCCCAAGAAGCCACAGCGGAGAAGGGAACATTCCTAGGTCTGTACCCAGTGGAGGATAGTGAATAACAAAAGCCCTAGGAATTGGGGGTGTAATTTAGGATGGCTTCTCCCTTTGGGATAAAACCTGCTAATGCTGAAGTAACATTTCTTCCTGACCTGATTAGAGCCTGGGGTTTTCCCATCCCGAGCAGTCTTGTAGCTGGGAGGAAGTCTGGCTTTCATTTCTCTGCTGTTCCCAGCAGCCTCATCTGAGCCGCGCTCTGCCGCATGTGCTCAGGCCTCTTTAAATGACATCATTTTACATGAAGTAGGAAGCCTCGTTCTGTACTCGTCTCGCTCAGAGTCCTCAAGAAAGTGCTGAGTAGGTGCAAGGACCGTTATTTTGTGGTGCTGCGATATATCTTGGAGGAGCAAATCCGTGCTGAGGATTGAAATGAAATAGCGTGGGCTTTAAGCAGGAGATTCCTGCCTCCCAGCTTCACGCTGCTTGTGAATGCAGTGATGGGGGCTGCCTAGCCCCTCCTTGCGTGACTAGGTATTCGCATGTCAACAAAATCTCCGGATTGCTGTCGTCTGATTCCAAGCTCAATTTCTCTTCTGCTTTCCCTTTTTCCAGTGTCAGCGCAAAAATAAAGGCCATTGAAGCCAAGCTGAAAATGATGGCAGAAAATCCAGATGCGGAATACCCCGCAGCACCTGTTTATTCTTACTTCAAACCACCGGATAAGAAAAGGACTACTCCTTATTCCAGAGCTGCCTGGAAATCTAGAAGATGATGCTTATGAACGGATAATGGTAGCAAGAAACACTGCTGTGTGTACCTGGAGTCCTCCAATGCTTTTGTACTTTGTAGAGTGAGAAGGATACCGCCACCCGAGCACACCAGCGCCGTACGTGGCATGGTGTTTTGTAACACCTTGGGTGCTCTGCCGAATGCTCCTTACTGCCAGCGCGGCTTCGCAGCTGAACGCTGTTCAGAAAAGTAGGTTCCCTTCAAAGCCTCTGATGAACGCGCAGACAACCTCTCGTTAGCGTGCATTCATTAGCAAGATTAAAAACAGTAACCAGTCTGTGGAGTAAAGCACATCCAAAAATACTCCATTTAACTGATTACTTTTAAAAATATTTTTTTGAACAAAAAGTATTCCAATTTGTGTTTTTAATGGAGGGGAAGCACTTGGTTTTGATTAACGTTCTGTAGCTAACCATGGAACACTTTTTCATCTCAATAAAATTCATTTTAAATAGATTTTGCAACACTTTTAGTAACTGTGCATGCAGTATTTTATGTGCACCAAAGCAGATTGATTTTGCATTTCCATTTGGAAGCTTTAAGGTATGACACTATGACGTGATGACGTTAAGTCATGACGCAGCACGGGTATTTCCAGTGTCGTTTAGGCTGCAGGTATGTGCCTCCGTGTAGGAGCTGGTGTATTTACACGCCGCTGAGGCCTGCTCTGTGCTGTGAGCTTCAGAGCGCAGCAGTGGCATGTCTGATGTTCACGTTCCGTAATCCCCGTCAGTGGTAGCTCTTCGTAAACCAGAAGTGACACCGTGAGGATAACGCTGCAGCCTCGGGGGCAGCTGTCAAGCGCGGGACCTCGGCGTTTGCCCAGCAGCCGGCCCAGCTGAAGGTGGTCGCTTGTCTCCTGGTGTAAAGCGGCACAAGCGTTGTGGCGAAATGGTTCTGCTGTGTGCCGAGGGTTACCTGCACCAGCTGCTTGACTGGCGGGTCTAACGGATGGCATTTCACTTCAACCATCTGATCCGCAGCACATTCTCCCTAAAATGTGATCTGCAAAATAGAAAGCCGAGGCAAAAAACCATTGTCTGGCAGAGTTTCCTCCTTAGTACATGCAGCGCTGTGGCTGTGTGTGCGAGGGGGATGTTGGAGAACGCGTGCGCTCGGGTCCAGGAGACGCTGATCTGATCGTGCCGATGCCTGTTCTCTCTACTCCTTTCCATGGTGAAACTTTGCCTCGTTGGTCACTCTTGAGTTGCTTCCCCAAGCTGGTTTAACAGTGGTCTCAAACAAGAGGAGGAAAATTATTTTTTTTTTTTTTTTAGAGCCCCTTGTTTCTGTACGCAGGTGTTGTTCGCTGGCGTAGCAAAGTAAGGTTTGTATTCCTGAAGCGGCGCATCCCGCTTCCGAACCGCGCGCCTGGAACGGAGCTGTGCATGTGTGTGACGGGTGGATTGTTAAAAGCCTGAATTGTTCAAAAGTAGGTCTCGTGCTGTTAAATACTTGCTCTCTAGTTTTTGGGTGCCTGAGTAAAGAGAACAGTAGTATCACTGGGAGTCTGTACCCCTATGATTGTCAATAACAGCCGTTTACATGCCTCTGTGAACAGTCTGTGTTTTCTTCTTGCGTGGTCTAACGTTTGTAGTCCTCCGGATCTGTGTCTGTGTTACTTAAAACAGCAATCGATTCTGTTTCTATTAGGAATTTAGAAGATACCTACATTGGAATCGGGTGTGCGGTTGTGTTCCCGTCAGAAATGTACTTTGATATTTATTTGTATTTAAATACGATTTGTTGAAATTCTTACGGCTCTAAATAAACATTTAAAATGCATGTTTTGCTCCAGGAAAGTGAGGGTGGCAAGCAGGAAGTGAGGGTGGTAAATGCTTGGCATCAGCCGAAGTCCACTGATACGCATCTGGGTACAATAGCAGTAGTCTTTTGTTATTTAATTTTTTTTTTTTGCGTTACTACAGTCGCTAACAGAAGTGCCTTGTCTGTCGCTTGGCCAGACTCGGATCTGGGGGAGCTTTATTGCAGGTCGGTGTTTGCGTCGGTCATTCCCGCCGCCGCCGGCCTGGCAGGCGCTCGCCCTGCCTGCGCTTCCCAGGAATGCTGCGGCTTCCCGAAGGCCTGGCACCTCTTCAGCAGCAAAACCAGAGAGTTTCTAACCCTGGAGCTGGGAGGAGGTCGATGCTCAGGAACGTTTTTTTTCACGAGCGTCAGCTCTGGGGCTTTGCATGTGAACCATCATAAAAGAGGTTTGAAAAGCAGCGGGAAGCGCGGCGGGGCTTTGGTGGAGGATGCCGTAAGTATGGGGGTTTGGCAGGCGGGTGGTGGGACGCGGCTGGGCTCGGCACCCGGCTCCCTCAGGAGTCTTCTGGGGGCTGTTCCTTACCTCTGGCATTACGGCCCTGTCCCCTCAGGGCTCTCTTTGCCCTGTATTTCCAGCAAACCCCTGCGGCAAGGCAGGCTACCGAGGGTGATGCTCACCGTGTCCGCGGTGTGGGTTTTTCCTCAATATTCC